CAGTTAACTGAAAACAGACAAGCTAAGGCTCAAGCAATACCTGCACTACTTTGGGGTCCTCTGCCTGCCCAGATCATACAGGGGAGGAGACACCCTCCCGCTGTCTTGCTCTCCAAAAGCTTCGACACTTAAAATGCCCACCGGGTTTCTTGTAAATACAGAGGGGGCAAATTGCTAGCATTTACTCAGCGCTTGCTATGCCAGGCAGCGTGCTAAACACTTAACATACATTATTTTATTGCACAATAAACCAATGAAGTGGCTGTTTTGGCCCCCATTTGATAAATCAGCTACAGAACTGAAGTAGAGAGAAATTAAAATTCAGTAACTTACCTTGGCTCTCACAGCTGAGAGGGAGTGAAGCTGGGCTTGTCACTCGGGTCGGTCTGACTCAGCCGGTGCTCTTAACTCACGGGAGAGTCACACACTGTCTTCAAGTCTCTGAAGGGCTGTCATATGGAAGAGAGGGTAGGTGTGTTCTGGGTAGCTCCAAAGAAAAGGATTTGACTGTTAGTTGGGAATTATGCTTTCATTGGATGTGCTGCAAATTCCCCAAACAACATGTATATGCATGTCCAACTCTATAGGGAAAAGAACATTATAAGAAGAGCAAACGGAACTGCCTTGCGTTAGGTGCCGTCCTGAAGGATCTGTGCAATCGCAGAAAACAGGAGGGATACCGGAGGACTGCAAATGGGCAGTGTCCCAATTTTCTTAAATAAGGAAACTACAGACCGGTATACTGTAAACTCCAGAGCTATAAGCTTGATGTCAATCCTTGAAGAGATTCTGCCGCAGATTATGAAGCAGGTAATTTATAAGCACTTAGACTGTAAGTGGCAATAGGGGGTACCTAGAGGTCCAAGCAGAACTCTAAAAATGTGACCAGGTTCTAGGGCTTGCAGCTTATTCTAGCCCCCAAACCAGGCGACCAACAGTGGGTTGCTAGATTTTTATTTTTCCAAGTAAATGCATTAAGAAACAATAGAAAACAAACCCCAATTACCATTTCCTAAAAAGAAAGGGCTTTCTTTAAACACCAAAAGAAAGGGAAATAATCTTAGAATAAAGGAAAGTCTTCTAAATTAAATAGATTTCTCTTCTCTTTACAAAACATTTACTACATAGTCCCCAGGCTTTGTCCTTGCATGGGGACTGCTGCAGTTTTCCTGGAGGACGGGAACTTGTCCAAGGACCTGCTTTAAGGAATCACTCTGAGTTAAAACATCAACATAGATAAGATCAGATACCTGTAAGACAGGAAGTCTTTCTGGCCAGAAGACAGAAGAATACAGTTTGACCTTAGCCTAAGTGAGGACATTCACATAGATAAAGAAAGTGTCCACAGGAACGGAGTAAGAGAAATAAAAGTTGCCAAGTGCAGACTCAAGCCCTGCTGAGGCGGGACTTGGCCAATGCATTTGACCTGTGCCACCCCTTGGATCATACAGCTCCCTTGTAGGAATAAGTGTCTGATGTCACTAAGCATTTGGACCACAAGTGAGTTTCCGACTTGAGGATCTCCAAGCAACTTTCTGACTATGACCTATCTTCCCAGGGCCAACTTCCTAAAGACAGATGAATTCAAAACTAGTGGAATACCATTGCCAGAATGAGAGTTCTGTGACAACCTAAAAGAAAGTCCCTAACCTCAATCCTCCCCTGTTCCACCTCTTTATCAGTAGTGTCAATAAAGGCATGGTTAGGATTTTTACACAACTTCTCTAGGGCTTAGAGCACCTCTGTGATCAGCCTGGCAAGAAGGTTTACATTTTAAGGCCCATCATTTACAATATGCCTGTCTGCATTTGGTCATTTTCTCTCATGGTCTTTGTTGCCAGTGCACTAAGTTCCTGCAATTTGTGCTGCTCATGGAAAATGCTTAGTGAACATATGCTAACTATGAGCTCTGCACCCTGAAGAGCAGATCGGGTCCTCTGTGCAACAGCTGAGCATTCATCTCAATCCTGTCTTCTTCCCTCAGATAACTGGTGTCATGGTGACTTCCTTGATGAGAAAAGAGGACAAACTGATGTCCTCTTCTTGGCAGAAATGGCTCTACTTCCCAAAAGACTTTAAATCAAAATTTGACTATAACTGTTAACATTGGCCTGGTTTCTGAAGGCAACCACAACACAGTATACACTCTTGACATACCCTCTAAAGCTGTGTTTCTCAAAATAAAAACATGATGGGGAACCCCTGCATCAGCCACCCCCTGAGAGGACCATTAAAATGCAGATGAAGGGGGGCTCCACTTTCAAAGGGTCAGACTCAGTAGGTCTGGAGTGAGGACAAAAAATCTGCATTTTAACCCAAGTGATTCTGAAGCACCACTAGCTTAGGGGTTCCTACACCCTACATTTAACATGAAACAGGCCTGGGCTCAAATCCCCACACTTCGAATTACTTCACCTCAGTTTCTTCATCTGTAAAACAGGGATAATCACAGTACCTACCTGGCAGGCTCTTTAAAAGTTTTAAGCAAAACAACATGTGTAAAGTGTCTGGCACATAGTTGAAGCTCAGTAATCTCTCCTGGTCCTGCTTATTCATGGGCTCTGATGCCTGCCTTCTCTGTGTTCAGCTTCTGCCCCTGTTAACAAACTGTTCAGTCTTTCTAGGTCTGCTATTCAAACTCCCCAAGAGAGAGACTCTCATTGGTCCAAATTTAGTCACCACTATACGGTTGGGCGAAGTCCTCATCCAGGGTTCCATTGTAGGCTGCTTGCCAGCCTATAGAATGACTGCTCTTGGATCAGATGCCCTCTCCTGGCTCAATCGGCTCTTGCCTGGGGGAAGCAGGGTCACGTGGTACCAAACATAGCCACCTATTCATAAGAAACTGCTCCTTCCCTCAGCTAGGGTCTGTGGATGGAAACTCCTTAGAAGGGGCCCGTGGGTGTGGCAGGAATTCTGAGGCTTAGCCCATCCAGTACACCTAGGCTTCTCATTTATCCAGCCTGCCAAAGGAATGAAGCGTTCAAGTTCACTGAAGTCTCTATTTAATTCCGACTTTTCATCTCCATCAGGCCAGGAACACCAGTTTTCAAAAAAAAATCTAGACCGCAGTTGGTGGGGGGGACTTAACCCTAAAATGAGATCTTCTGTTTCTAAAACACGTTTTTAAGTTTCCAAAGCACTTTCACATCTATTTCCTCATTGCAGAATTTACAAACTGGCAGCCACAGGCTAGATCCAGACTGCAGACAGATTTTATTTGACCCATACAATGTTTTTAACATTTTTTAATTAGTTGCCAACATTGAGAAGTCAGGAGATTTCACATAAAAAGCTGAATTTTTGGCTTCTCTGAGAAAACAGATGTAGGTTCTCATTCAGACATGGCAATAGTCAGCTGGAGCTGCCTGTGGGGCATATGCTCACAGTATCCATCCAGCTACCTTTACTTTTTCAATCACCTGCTTGGCTCCTGTGGGCATCTGAAGTCCCATTTTAACTCCCAGGATTAGGTAGACAAAGTGGTTAAGCGCTCAGATTCTGAAGCCCAACTGTCTTAGTTGGAATCCCAGCTCTGCTTCTTAACTGTCTTTTGGACTCTCGGAGAGTGATTTAACCTCTCTGCATCTCAGTTTCCTCATCTGTAAAATGGGGATGATAAGAATATTATTGCCTAACTCATAGGCTTTATTGGGCCAACTAAATGAGTAAATTCATACTTAGAGCAAAACCCAGCCACAGCAAGCACTAAATACCTCCTAGCTTCTTTCATTGTCTATAATTCCCTATGTGCCTGTCTGACATCCCAGACTTTATGAAAACTGACATTTTGTGACAAGCTCATTCAGTGGCAAAATTAGACCTGAATTGACAGGAGATTATTAATTTATCCTATTTAGAAATATTAATGTATTTCCACAGGGTACTTCCTCAGATCCCACTAAGGGGTGTTAGATAATGTAGCTTATATGTCCATATTGTTTTTCAAAAGTCCAAAAACTCCAAACTTCAAACCATATCTAGCTCTAATGGTTCCAGATAAGGGATTATGAATCTGTATTATTTGTAATTTGTATACTCACATGATAGACAGGAAAACTGAGGTACTGAACCTTAAACAAGTTAGCAAAAGTCCCACAACTCAAAAGCAGAAGCAATGTTCACCATTAGACATGTAGCCCATAGTGCCTAGTATTGTGTTATGCACTGAGCTTACTATAGGCATGCTGATGCAGATAGTGGCTACCCATCAGGGTACCCTGGAGAACTGAAGAACATCATCATTTGTCAAGAATGACAAACTCTACCCTTACTTGCACTCTTTTGCCTTATTCTTTGCTATCCAGTGTTGGGTTGAATTAAGACAGGGACTATTGTCTTCTTTTTGACAGAAGGGGAAATGGAGGCCCAGAGAAGAGAAATAACTTACTTGCTCAAATCCACACACCAAGAGACAGGCAGAGCTGAAAGCAGAAACCAAAATCTGTGTTTCTTCTTAAACCCCAGAAACAGTCCAAGAATGACATATGCTGACCTTTCCACATACTGACCCTCACTCTCTGCAGTGCTAACGTTGTCAACATACCTGATGCAAGGAGAGTTTCTCAAGATCTCAGCAAATATAAAAATGAGACAACATGTCTGGGTGGACCTCATGCTTCCCAGGACCATAGGCCGCATTGTACAGACACCATCCAGTCAGAAGCCACTGAGGGGAGATTTCTTAAATCCCAAGAAAAATCACAGAGACCCTACTGTTTGCTCTTCTCTGTTTATTTTTAAGAAGCTGACATTTACTTATGCCAAAGGCCAAAAGAAATGAAAAATCTACTGGAAAGGGAATTTCATCAGTCATGAAGCTATATCTTAAAGAAACCTTTGCACAGTATCAGCTCCCTTGTTTGCAATGCAGAAAACAGAGCACTGCTATTTCATATTGTTAGCACATCAGAGACCCGGGCATGGAAACAGCATCCCTAGGACCTCTTTCAAGTCCCCTGCCACAGCACAGAGGAGCTTTCTAACATCGCCTCCAACTTAAGCAAGTTGGAAACAAGAAGGCAGGCCATGACCCAGGTGACCTCATGTCACTCCTAAACTCATGACTTGAGTTCCTGCTACCAACAAATCCGTACTTTGATCACACACCCACAGCGACCCAGATCTTTGAATTCAGCAATTCTTTCTCAGGTTTCAGCAAGGCATTGGCAGCCTGAGCTATTTTGGGACACTTTCTCTGCTGTGGATGCCACTTTCGGAATACGCCAGGAACATGCTGAGGACCTGGAGCTCTCTATCCTGGACCCGTTTCCTGGTCTGCCTGCTCTCTCTCTCTCTCTCTCTCTGGGCTAATCACTTGGAAGACAGTTGCTCCTGCCAACCTAATCCCAGGGGCCTGACTACCTTGCCGGGTCACAGGCTCAAAGACGCAATGTGGCTGCCAGCACCCTCATGGTAAGGGGCATAGAGGCACCAGGCAGCCTTGGCAGGATGAGAGGCCTCCTGGGGGTGGTCTGACTTTGGATGTAGGCTGAGAAGACAAAGTGGGGAAGGGCTGGAGGTAGGAAGGCAAGATTTTCCAAACATCTTCTTCCTACGATCATCACTTCCTAATCTGATGCAACTGGCTCGGCAGGCATTCAAGAGCCTGTGAGCTCCATTTTCCTGTTCTAAAATCTTCTGCACCTGTAAGTACCGGGGCTCACTGATGTTCATGCTGTCTTTTGGGGAGGGGGAGAGGAGGGCAGGGCCTAGAGATGGTCATCATTATCTCACTCAGGTGTAGGCAGGTCCATGGCATTAGAAGAATTTCTGAATTCCCTCACCCCTAAACTGCTTCTTAGTTTGGAAAATGAAAATGCCTCCTTTTCTTTTCTCCCACCCCCCACACAGCATACCAGAAACCCCACCAGTCTTTTGGGGTCCTCTTTTCATCAATACTGTCTGGGCACACCTGATTTCTCATGTTGAACTTAATGGGAGAAGTGCACCCTTGGCATGTGAATTTCTTAAATGTAACCACAGCTACTATTGTGGGCACAGCTCCTGCTGGCTTCTCCATCTTTTATACAGCAATTTACTGAAACTATGAAAGATGGTGTAAGCAGGAGGGTATAAATGAGAATCTAGGAACTTCTCCATGGTAAAAAGAAGAGCAATGTGGTTAATTCTCAACGCAGTTAGAAATGCTGCCCCAATGAGGAGGCTTCATGCTATGCAGAGAGATGGCCCCTTTCAATGCCTTCCTATTTTAATGGAAAGAAAGGCCAAAATAGCTGCCGGCTCCCCAGGAAAGGAGCATTTCTGATGCTTTTACCATTTCACCTAGAGACTAGTCATTGTCTCTGGCCAGCTTGTCAGTCCCTGAAGCAGCTCCAATGGCTGCTCCAAAAGGGAGAGCCCTTCTTCCTTTCTTTTGAGGAGTGTTAGAGCTTCCTCAAAATAGCCCAGGATGACTGGGCCAGGCCTGCCACGCACCCCCTTCCCTTAACACCAATAGCAAATCATTCCCATGGTACACAATTTGTTTGGAGGTGAGAGTAAGGAATGTCTCTTCCAGGAAGCCATTTGAAGAAGCCATGACCCATACTAAAAGCAATGTCCTTCTGAGCTATCCTAAAGACTTTCTTAAAGAACAGGACAGGGCAAACGTATCTGGCCTTTTGCTTTCCACGCAGTACCATGAAAAGAACATTGTTCTTAAGCAAAGACAAAGTATTAAGACATTCATCTATCCAAGGCTGGCTACCTTCAGTTTTCTCTGATTTGCAAAATAAAAAGCTTCTTATTTGTATTCCTAAGACTGCTGCCTGTGAAGTGGATTTGAAGAGAACAATGTTGATATCAGTGGTTGAGAAATCAAGAAAGGAAATTTACCTTGTGTCTAGTGGAGAACAGATTATTTCTCAGACTATAGAACAAAAGTAGTCTCAGGGGGAACTTGTTTCTGCCTTGATTACTGCCTGTTTGTGTGATCTTAGGTAACGCATGGAGTTTTCTCAGCCCTCCTCCTTCTGAGAAGCGCTGAGAAAACGATGCTTGGATCCTAGTTTCATTGTCTGGAAGGCTTTTTGTCAAAGCCTTGAGTGTTGGTGGTAGCCTGAATTTTATGTCTACCTTGTGGCATTCCAGGAGCATTAAGAATGTTCCCTTGGGCCTTCTAAATCTCCCCCTATCCACTCCTGAGGGCTTGAAAATTCTTAAGTACATAATTCCTTTTACTCAGTGCTTTGGCATTGGTTAAAATACCAACCTCTTGGGAGGGTCAACCTGCTAAACCTCATCTGGACACATCCCATCCTGACAGCAGATTTGGATACAAGGGAGAACAGGGAAAAGGAACATGAGATCATAATAGGTACAAACTTGAACTTCAGAGTAGGAGCCTGAAAGTAGACCCAGGTCAAGGACAAAGGTACCAAGAAGCTCTTGTTGGCAGAAAAGGAGGGTTTTGTTCTTGTTAAAATGAAGTCCAAAGCAACTTATTGAGGCAGCAACTCAGGATTTGAGAAATGGGACAGAGAGTCCTCTTGATAAAACTGAGGTGCAAGAAGGAGAAAGAATCAACTGGATAGGAGAAATTCTTTCAAGGATTATCTTTAGGCTAAGTGATCTGAGTCACTAAACTAAGACTTCCCCAAATGTTAAGAGGCCTCAGTGTAAGAAATCAAACAAGGGCTGGGGATATAGCTCAGTTGGTAGAGTACTTGCCTTGTATGCACATAAACCCTGGGTTCAATCCCCAGCCCCACAAAAAAAAAAAAA